AGAAGATGACAGACAGGATTTGAGACGGGTCTGCTCTGAGGCTTTGGCTGTGATTTTAAAAATTAATCCTGATGTGGTTTTTTACAAAATAGATAAAATTTACAGAGTGAATTCTTGGGTGGCCAGACAAAGACAACTGCCTAGAGATGTGGTCATATATTTTACAGATAGAGCAATAAGGAATGACATCCTGCAAAAATCCTTTCATACTTCTGTACAAGTGGGGGGCTCACAAATTGGAGTCTTTTAAGAGCTACCACCTAAAATGTTGAAAACCAGAAAGGACTTTGGCTTTCTTGTTAAAGAATTGCAAAACCAACAGATACCATTTCGGTGGGATGCCCCAACTGGTATAATTTTGAGATACAAGGGAGAAAGACATCGCTTGAACACTGTGGAGAAAGCGGAGCATTTTTACACTACTATTTTTAAAGAAAGAACACCATCTCCACGCACATCCACAGTTCTGGAGATTAAGGAGAGTGATAAGAAGCAACTTCAACAAGAACCTCAAGAACAGTCTAAGCAGGAACCAGAGGAAACGCAGGGCGCTGAAGGAGGTTTTCTGGATGAGCCTTTGCTGGAATCTTCTCCAATCTTGGACCCGGTGCAGACGGTTGAATTTAAGGATCAGCGTATAACCCGAGCTAAGTCTAAGCAACTTAAAGAAAAGCAACAACAGCGACAAGATAAAAAGGAAGCTAAGAGTACTACACAAGAGACTGGAGCCATGGGGGGAGCGAGACCGAAGATTTTGGAAGATTTTTTCTGCTCTTTGCTCCAGGAAGATAAAGATGATGATTAAGTGTTTATCTTGGAATGTGAATGGGTTGAATTCAGCACAGAAAAGGAAGAAATTATTTGCATATTTGAAACAATTTAATAATGATATAATTTGTTTACAAGAAACACATATTACAGTTCAAGATCAAAAATATTTGATAAACTCCAAACTAGGAATGCATTTTATATCTTCAACTTTGCAAAAAAAGAATGGTGTGGTTATTTATGTAAATAAAAAATTTTCGGCTAAAGTTATAGAAGCAGATGAAGATGGTAGGTTTGTAGCAATTGAATTATTTACAACAAACGGCCAAATTCTTTTGATTGGAATTTATGCTCCCAATCAACAACAGGATCACTTCTACAAAATGCTACATACTAAAATACTGCAATGGGATTATAGATCTATTTTAATCATGGGAGACTGGAATGGAGTAATTGACTCCAAATTAGATAAAAAGAGTTTGGCGAAGTCTAGGATTAGGCTACCACAGACCTTTTTTGATATGAAAGAAGATTTGGAATTAAAAGATATTTGGAGAATACACAACCCAAAAGAATTGGACTATACTTTCTTTTCAGACAGACATAGATCCTTCTCTAGGATCGATTTCATTTTGTTGTCAGATGATTTACTCGTTAAGACAAAAAGAACAAAGATTTTTCCAAGAACTTTGACTGACCATAGCCCAGTATGGATAGAAATTGAGATAGGCAAGACTGAGAGACGCTCTTGGAGATTAAATGAGAACTTGTTCAGATATGAAAAAAATATAATAGAACTTAAAAAGCACCTGAAAGAATTTTTTCAACTAAATTTGAATAAAGGCACCCCAATAGAAATTGTGTGGGATGCAAGCAAAGCTTATATGAGAGGGGTGCTTATCTATATGAACTCTAAACATAGACTGATTCGACAAAAGAAAAGATCTGAATTGGAAGCAGAAATAAAGAATAAAGAACAGTTACTTATTAAAAATCCAACAGATGAAAGAATGCGTGGTGCTATAAAGCTTTTGAAAGACCAATTTCAAATGCTTATGGCGGAACAAGTTGCAACAAACTTACAATATGCGAAGCATAATACATTTTGTAACGCTAATAAACCGGGCAGATGGTTGGCCTATACACTGAGGAAAAAACAGAGTATACGGACTATTGATAGTATTGATATTGGAGGGAAAGAAATTTTTCAACAAAAATTAATTAAAGAAGCTTTTGTGGATTATTATACTAAATTATATGCTAAAGAGGATGTGCAGAATGGACTTATAGAAAAATACCTAGATGATAAAAAAGTTATAAAAATTACTGATCAACAAAAGGAAAGAATGAATTATCCTATAACAGAGGAGGAGATAATAGTAGCAATTAAACAATTAAAAACAGCTAAAGCTCCTGGTACGGATGGCTTGACTGCAGTCTATTATAAAACTTTGCAAGCCGAAATGGTGGAACAACTTAGAGATTTATTTTGCAATATCCAACAAGGGGGCAAAATACCCCCATCATGGACAACAGCTTACATATCTTTGATACCAAAAGAGCAAGCCGGTCCTAAAAAACCGGAGAATTATAGACCAATATCTCTTCTGAATTCTGATTATAAAATTTATGCGAAAGTATTAGCCAACAGGTTGATGCCAGTAATTCAAAAGGTGATTCATGACGATCAAGCGGGATTTATCGAGGGTAGATACATGAAGGACAATGTAAGGCAAGTAATAGATCTATTGGAATATCTTGAGAAGAATAAACAGATCCCTGCAGTGCTGGTTTTCTTGGATGCAGAGAAGGCCTTTGATAGAGTGGATTGGAATTTTCTACTAAAGACTTTAAAAAAGATGAATTTTGGGGATCAATTTGTACAGGCGATTTCAGCAATTTATCAAGAGCAAAAGGCACAGATTATTATTAATGGAAGCTTGACAACAGAGTTTAAAATTGAAAAAGGAACAAGACAGGGATGTCCGCTGTCCCCACTTTTATTTATCTTAACACTAGAAGTCTTGTTAAATACAATACGGGACTCTAATATCTTGAAAGGTATAACGGTAAGGCAAGACGATTACAGAATAAAGGCATTTGCAGACGATCTAGTTGTTACCCTAACACAGCCAATGGAATCAATAATCCTGATGAAGGACATTATACAAGACTATGGTAAAGTCTCAGGTTTTAGAATGAATCATAAAAAGACTAAGATGATAGTTAAAAATATGACACAAGATCGTAAACACGAGCTTGAAAGGAGGGCAGGTTTTGAGGTTGTACCAAGGGTAAAATATCTAGGAGTCCAGGTTGCAGAATCAAATACGAAATTGTTTCAAAATAACTATGAGGTGTTGTGGCGAGAGGTGCAGAAAGATTTAGAGACTTGGAAAAAACTGCAACTGTCTCTACTTGGAAGAATAGCAGCAGTTAAGATGAACATTTTGCCAAGATTTCTTTTTCTGTTTCAAATGATTCCGGTGCTTAAAAGTGATAAACAAGTGAAAGTGTGGCAAGCTGGAGTGAACAAGTTTGTCTGGAACGAGAAAAAGCCGAGAGTGAAATTGAAAATTATGCAAGATGTTCCAGAAAGGGGAGGTCTTAAATTACCAAACCTACAGTTATATTATGATGCAGCAGCTTTGACTTTAACAAGTGATTGGTTTGGAAGGAAAAAGACTGGAATATTGAACGTAGAAAGTTTTGATCTTGAATATGGATGGCATGCCTACTTATTTTATGATGATAAAGTCGATAAAGTATTTAAAAGCCATATACTTAGAGACTCTTTGATGAGAGTTTGGAAGAAGCACCGACTTAAATGGGATTATAAAATACCGCTATGGCTGGATCTTGGTCATACTTTGTGGAATACAAATATAATGTCACTCAGGGGGGGTTTATATAAAGAGGTTCTTTTTACAGATGCGGGCAGATGGCAGCTGACTACAGACACTGTTGGCTGAAGGGATTAATTTAACCTGGCTACAATATAATCAATTGCAATTGAGATGGAAAGAGGATCAAAAAACTGGTATTATGTTGCATGAGGAAGAATTGGTTAGACACATAAAAGAGAAAGGTCCAATGCATATTAAAAGGCTTTATAATGTTTTGTTAGAAAGGGATTCAGAAACCGAATTAGTTAAAGATTGTATGATTAAGTGGGCTCAAAATTTTGAAGAACCAGTGATGTTGGAAACATGGGAAAAAATTTGGGTTCAGAACGTTAAATTTACACAGTCGCAGAATTTGAGGGAAAATTTCTACAAAATGTTTTATAGATGGCACTTAGACCCCAAAAAGTTATCATGTATGTACCCTAATGTTCAGCCAAAATGTTGGAGATGTGAATGCTTGGATGCTACATATTATCATGTTTGGTGGACCTGTAGGAAAGTTAAGGCTTTTTGGATAAAAATTTGGTGGGTCATGCAGAATGTTTTGAAGAAAAAAATTCAATTCTCTCCACAACTGTTCTTATTGGGTATAGTTAAGGGTTTTACATTGGGTGAAACAAAATTGATATTGTATATGATAACAGCAGCAAGATTGTTGATAGGTAAATATTGGAAAAACGAAGCTTTGCCCACTATTGAGGAATGGACTTTGAAGATGGCCAGTTTTGCAGAGATGGCGAAGATTTCAGCATACTTAAAAGATTGTTCACAAGAGACTTATGAATGGGAATGGAAAAAGTGGATATAATATGTTCAGAATAAATATCAAACTAGGAAGTATCAAATAGCTTTTATTTGAAAATAATGTATTACAAATATTTTAATGTAATGAAGATAAAAAGAAAAATTATAAGGGGGAGGGAGGGGTTCAAGTTTTATACAAGTTTTATACTAAGGTTTTTTTTTTACCTGATATGAGTATATTGTGTGGAAGTCTGGGGGGAGGGGAGGGTTAGGGAGGGTTAGGGAGGTTGGGATGTTTGGGGTGGGTGGTGGGGGGGAAAAATGGGGTGAAAATGTAACTGTAAAACTTTTGAAATAAATAAATAAAAATAAGAGTGATGTTGAGCTGGCCATGCCCACCCTGGCCATGCCCCCCCTCCCACCCCCAAGATCAAACGCAACCCTGATGTGGCCCTCAATGAAATCGAGTTTGACACCCCTGCTGTAGGGGAGATCTGGGATTGTGCTGGTTCTATCGGGGCTGAATTTGCTCCGTGCCACAGCAGTGCTTACGTACTTGCTTTTCATTTGTCTCCCGCCTAGGGTTTTATACGACGGGAAAGAGAGGTTGAAACAGGGATGCGAAATCATCCAGACCACTCCGTCTGGCCGCCCTGCAAATATCAGCAGCGGTGCCTCGTCCCAGAAAGTGTACCTAACGTATCGGAGAGCTTTGGAGAACATGACCCAAAACACCTTGGCGGTCACAGACATCTGCATCATTATCCCAAGCAAGGGGGAAACCCCGCCACACACCTTCTGCAAAGTTGACAAGAATCTGAACAATAGTATGGTAAGGTGATTTCTGGATTTGAAGGGTTTTTTTTCTCTCCCCCCCCCCCCCCCGTGGATTTATAATACTTGTCATAATGTATAGCATAGATGAGGGTCTGTTAATTCATCTTTAAGGAGCCTTGGTGCACAGAGGACTAAAGTGCTGTTAAGTAGCACTTAGCTGCCAGCTGCCTGCAATTACTGCAAATTCAAATCTCACCAGGCTCAAGGTTGACTCAGCCTTCCATCCTTCCGAGGTAGGTAAAATGAGGAGCCGGATTGTGGGGGCAATAAGCTGACTTTGTATAAAAAGAACACTGCTTAGGGGGGCCCCGAAAGCCCTACTAAGCAGGTATATACAAAAGTATGAAGGCTATTGCTTAACGCATTGTAAGCCGCCCTGAGTCTCTGGAGAAGGGCGGCATATAAATTGAACCAATAAATAAATAAACAATAAATTTTAATATTCTGAATTATTATAGGGTTTTTAGCTAAGTGGGGCTGGGTTTTCCAATGCTTCTCTTGATGAGTGAGCAACTATTGTTCTACTCTTGGTTACTTGGTTGTGTTATAATGTTGTCTGTTCTTGAATGCCATAAAGCAGTGTTTCTCAGACTGGGTAAGTTTAAGACTTCAATTCGCAGAATTCTCCAAACAGCCATGGGGGTCCTGGCTAGGGAATTCTGGGAATTGAAGTCCACCCTTCTTAAACTTACTCAGTTTGAGAAGCACTGACATATCCTGCTGTATTCATATTGATTTCTCCCTATTTGCATTTAGCATCTGATACTAAGAGATTTTTCATGAATATTGCCCTTAATGGCTAATATTTCAAGTGCAAATATTATTTTTTAAATCAGCGTCCGGCAGTTACCAATTCCTAGCTTCAAGCAATGGGACAGAAGGTTTTCATTATCTTCTTTGTATTAACTATTAACGGTTCTGAAATGATTCACTGGTTTAAAGGCATGAATTAAACTATCAGATGTTACTTATTTTCTGATTTTCTGGGTTGTAGAAAATGAAAACCTGTTTCACGAGTCAGTTGCGTCAAAAGGACTTCTTCAAAAGAATGGAAGCTAATAGTTTATTTTTGAAAATAAACATTTTCATAGAGCGTTGCTAGTCTTCCTATGTGTTAATCTGCAGGATTTCCTTATCTCCCTATTCTTTAGGGCTGCTTTTAAATGATAAAATGTGGTTTTAGGTCATTTCTTAGAAAAAAGGCAAAACCACGTGCATTTTGACAGCTGAAAGAGAAGCATGATCAACACATTTGAGTTTTAAATTTTATTTCTAATTACTAAGAGCTAACTTATTGTTCCAATCACAGTGATCAGAACAAATTATGGTGACAGAGTAAAACAGCAGCCTTCTTCATTTTAAAATTACAAAAAAATTAAGCAGACATAACTTCTTCCCATGTAATAAAAGTTTCTGTTAAATGGATACTTGTACAAGAAGTAATGCAAAGTGTGATTATAGGTCCTCCTGCCCATATTTATATCTTGCAAATTGCAATGTTATTTGAACTTTTCATATATATATGAAATTTAAAATATTGAATCCAAGTGCATAGATATTATACTAATAAATTCATTAGTATGATTCATTTCTTACAGGTTTAAATTATATGGGTCTTTTATGATTATAGTCTCTTCATTGAACTCATTTTACTGCTGGTCCTGAGGTCCATACTGAGCTTCATTAGCAAGTTGATCTTTGGGAATGAAATGTCTTCGAAGCCTATTTTATTTTATTTTTGTTTGTATCCTCTAGATTCCAGATAGCCTTTGCTACTAAACCTTACAACAACACCATAGATTTCCAGCCTTTATATTGTATAGTATATCATGTTTTGGCAGTGGTTTCTATTATTTCAAAGTTTATCATGCTATTCTGTGATAAGGATGGCTAGGACTCCCCTGATACTCTGCATTTTGAAATACAGAAATTTAATATTTGCAGTGATTCACTTAACAACTGTGGCAAGAAAGGTCGTAAAATGGCGCAAAACTTACTTAACAAATGTTTTGCTTAGCAATGGAAAATTTGGGCTGAATTGTGGCCATAAGTCAAGGACTACCTGTAGGCTGTTTTAGATGACAGAAAAGAAAAGAAGCCAGTCTTTCAGACACTTTGTCGAAAGCACAATACTGAGAAAGGCTAACTTAGACAGCAGCTCTTTAAAAAATGAAATGGTATCAGTTCATGAGATGTTAGAACTGGGGAAACTCAGATAAGATGTGTCGAGTATAAGTGGTTGATTATGAAGATGCCTCTTCATGATTATTTTTACAGGTTTGGATGTTGTACAATTTCATATTCACCAAAGTTAACTTACTGCCCTTGCAATTAATGGAAATTTGTTCGTTGCTTGTTCTCGATGTCCTTAGCTAGTTTATAATTTAGCTCTGACTGCTAAGTCAAATGTACATTTTATCACACACACAATACATGAAAACATGCCTTTTGCCTCCCAAAATGTCTCTGTCCAAAATGCTTTTTTTGGCATCCCTTTCCCTTTTACTTCTGGTCTGCCCTGGAATTTAAATGTGTGGCAACATTTAATGGGCTACTGTAAATGTTTTGTTTGCATAGACATGTTGCTAGCAGCAGAAATAAGTTAGTATTGCACAGAAATCATTGAATTGTATAATATTTTTTTTGCTAAAAGTGGATCCTAGAGTGAGTAATTGCAAGTTAGGAGAACTAAGCATTGCCCCAAAAGATTTAAATCAGCATGAATCCAATAAAAAGAAGGGGGGGGGAGGAAAGGTTGCTATCTTTTACCTATATGAAAAAAATTAAACTATTTCATATGATCGTTGAACACTTTCCATTTGTAATTAGAAAAGTTGGTTTAAAGAAACAGCATTTTATGGAACATAGCTTGTGTTATCAAATTTGTTTAACATTTTGCGATCCAACATTTTGTTTCTACCAGGGTGAATAAAAATCAATGATTTTTTTAAAAAATCAAAAAAAAAAATCAGATTTTTTTGATTTAAATCGGATTTTTTTTATTTTTATCGAATTTATTTTAATAAAAAACTTTTGGGGTAAAAATCTATCGCAAGATAGTTTTCTATTTAAGATACATAAATAATTTAGTTTATTCAGCATGAAATGGAGCTTAGTTCTGTAGCATGAGGCTGTATATTCTGCAACACTGGGACTATCAGTGAGTCAACGGTGGGTCAAAGGAGTAGCAGAGATGACAGTTGCTCTTTAAAAATTATGATTTAAATCAAGTTGGTTTAAATCAAGCCTTTTTACTAGTGATTTAAATCATGATTTAAATTGTGATTTAAATCAACTCGATTTAAATCAAATCCACCCTGGTTTCTACGTTACCTAGAATGGAACATTGTTTTTCTACATGGCCTAGAATGCTAATCTGCCCTTTCCAATGTTATGTTTCCACAGTGGGGATTATCTGCCTACTTGTGTTATAAGAAATCTGTGGCAAAAACAAACACCATATCATACAAAGCAGGTAAGCATGGTCGGTTCATTTCAAAAAATGTTTCTGGGTCTGGGATTACATGTTATGGTTTTATGTCAACCTAGGGGGTCAACCTCCAAAGTACCTGAAGGCAGGACAAGAAGCAATTGATGGAAATTAATCAAGGAGAGAAACAACCTAGAACTAAGGAGAAATTACCTGACAGTGAGAACAATAAACCAGTGGAACCGCTTGCCTTCAGAAGTTGTGGCTGCTCCATCACTGGAGGCTTTTAAGAAGAGACTGGACAGCCACTTTTCTGGAATGGTATAAGGTCTCCTGCTTGAGCAGGGGGTTGGACTAGAAGACCTCCAAGGTCCCTTCCCACTCTGTTATTATGTTCTGTTAATCTAACATGTTTAGAATATAGAACATAGAATAACAAGAATGGGAAGGGACCTTGAAGGTCTACTGGTCTAACCCCCTGCTCAAGCAGAAGACCCTGTATCATTCCGGCCAAAAACCTCCAGTGATGGAGCACTCACAACTTCTGGTGAAAGCCGTTTCACTGATTTATTGTTCTCCTTGTCAAGGAATTCCTCTTTAGTTCTAAGTTGGGTCTCTCTTTAATGATCTTCCACCCATTGCTTCTTGTCCTGCCCTCAGGCACTTTAGGGAATAGGTCGACCCTTCTTCTCTGTGAGAGGCCCTCAAATATTGGAAGAGTGCTGTCAAGTCAGCCCTTGTCTTCATTAGATTAGATCTACCTAATTCCCCAATAGTTCATCATATGCTTTAGCCTCCAGACCCCTTATTATCTCTGTTGCTCTTCTCTGCAGTCTTTCTAGGGCATTGTTTCTCAACCTTGGAAGCTTGAAGATGGGTGGACTTCAACTCCCAGAATCCCCCAGCCAGCGCTGCTGGCTGGGGGATTCTGGGAGTTGAAGTCCACCCATCTTCAAGCTACCAAGGTTGAGAAACACTGTTCTAGGGTTTCAGAATCTTGTTTATATCGTGGTGACCAGAACTGTATGGAGCATTCCATACACTGGAATTTAGATTTAGGCAGTCCCAAACAGCCACTCTTCCCCCAGCAGACCTACAAGGGAATTCTAGTAGTGATATTTCAGTGTCAAGTGTCTCCATAGCTGTTCTTAAGCTTGAGAAGAAAACAAAAGAAAACTTAATTGTGAAACTCTGGAGGCATACAAGTATAAACAGCCAAGCACAGAAATAGCCCTATTTTTTTTCCTACAGAGCCTGCCTGGACAAGTCTGTTGAAATACTTCAGAGATTTAAAGTATAGTATGTAATCCACTGAGCAAAATGTCAAACTGAATTTTCTGACTGTGCTCCTGTAGAGTAGCACAGCTGAAGTAGTAGAGTTGAACTCATGGGAAAAGTTAGGAGCATCGTAAAAGTAGCCGTGCTATCTGATACAACCAGTATTTAAAAATCGCTACCTGAAGTTAGGGCATGGAATTTGTCAACTGGCTTCTCAAAATATTTCGGATAATGAAATAATGCAACTGCAGCTCCTCCGAGCTCTACAAATTCACGTGACACAGATACATTACGTGCATTTGGAGACAGGGCAGCATCCAAAATTCCATTGATTGCAGTTTTCAAGGATTTTATTTAATTGCTATTTTGATTTATTCCATTGATATCCCACCTTTCAGTTCAGTCAATTGTTTGAGGCAGTCAACTGCAATAAGAAGTAAACAAACGTATATTTTAAAAGATACTTTTTTAAAAAAAGAATAGCATTGAAAAAGATACAGAACATAGAATGATAAGGTTGGATGGGACCTTGGTCATGGGAGGTCTAACCTTAATCTTAATCTAATCCAGGGATCTCCAAATTTGTCAGTTTTTAAGTCTTGTGGACTTCAAGACTTCAAGCTCTGCTGGCTGAGGAATTCTGGGAGTTGAAGTCCACAAGTCTAAAAGCTGACAAGTTTGGAGACCTCTGATCTAATTATATGCCAGGTCTAATCTTCTAATGGGAAGGAAGACTTTTTGGGGAGAGTCTTCCTTAGAGGTAAGGCCAGGAAAAGGCTTTGAACGTCTTACAGAGCTGAATGTCCTGACAAATTCAAAAAGATTCCCTCTATACATAACTATACCCTGTTTCCCCAAAAATAAGACATTCCCTGATAATAAGCCCAATCGGGCTTTTGAGCGCATGCGCTAAAATAAGCCCCCCCCCCCAAAATAAGCCGTCCCTGAAAATATTTAAACGCATACGCAGCCGGTCCCTGTGATTTCCTCTGGTTAAGGTTAGGGAGGCAGAGCTGGAAATCAGGTAAGACGGCAAGAGGAGCCCCATCTTGCTCCATGTGCCCCAAAATAATAAGACCTCCCCGAAAATAAGGCCCAGCGCTTATTTCGGGGTTAAAAAAAATATAAGACGGGTCTTATTTTCGGGGAAACACAGTATATAATTCTTTGTTAAACTATTTTAATAGCATTTCCCCCTTTTTATTTTGAATTTCTAGTAATCTGATAGCTGCATAAGCCACAGTCTTTATTTATTTATTTATTTTTATTAATCATATTTCTATGCCGCCCACTCTCCGAGGACTCTGAGCAGCTTACAACAATCGACAGTATACTAAATAGCATATTGCCCCCAACATTCTGGGTCCTCATTTTACCCACCTCGGAAGGATGGAAGGCTGAGTCAACCGTGAGCCGGTGAGATTTGATCTGCTGATCTGCTGAACTAGCAGTCAGCTGAAGTAGCTGCGGTACTGCACTCTAACCACTGCGCCACCTCGGCTCTTACAGCTGGGTGGCTCTGTTTGGTTGCCAAATAGATACACATCTTACCGCCCACACTTGTTATTAAGAGAATAATGATAGCAGTGTGAAAAATAATGCTAGTCAAAACAATGGAGATTGAGTAGCAGCCATGAAATGAGTACACAGACATCCAGATATAAAATTCTTAAATCACCAAACTTGAATCAAATTCAACAACGTCTTGAGTAAAAACATTATTTTATACTCCTTTTCTCTGGATGTATTACTGACAACTTAAGAAGTTACTCCTGCATTTATTGGTCAGTTCATCAGTGAATAACTCAAATAAACTAACCCTTGATTTATATCTGTTTGGTTCCACAGGGGAAATTGGGCTCAATTAATATAACATAAGCAAGGATTTGAAAGCCTGCAGGAAACTCTGCACAGTTCTAGAATAAATTATTCAAAGATCAGCCTTCTAAAGAGATAAACGAACATGACATCTACCCCGGTCATAGTTGTGATGTCCACAATAATTTAAAAAATGTTATTCCTTTTTTGAAAGAGTTGTTTTTTTTTTAGACCTTTGAATGCCATGAATGTAGGCTAAACAGATTCCGAAACAAAAGGAATAAATAAATTGGAGGACATCAAAGGGATGGAAGAAACTCAGCTTGCCAGAAGGATATTTGTCTTGACATGTTAAAAAACAAACAAAAAAAACCCACATTTAGGAGTCCTGGATAATTACACTGAACATAAGCCAGCGGTGTGATGCAGATGCCAACAAAGCTCATGCAATCTTAGGCTGCTCAGCATAATCTCCAATTAATGAGAAAGAACCACGAAGCATTATATCTCCAGTTCATGAGAAATGGTTCCAGTCGGATGATAACAATAGCACTTAGACTTCTACACTGTTCCATAGTATTTTATAGCAGAGTTCCCCAACATTTCTGGCTTTATGGAGTGGCGGAGGGTTAGGAGAGAAGAGGGGAGGGATCTGCACGAGCGGCACACGCAACTCCATTTGCGCAAGCGGTGTGCCTGCGTGCCTGCTGCGCATTTAAAATGGAGCATGCATGTGCGTGCTCACACACTGCTCGCGCAAGTGCCTGTGAGCTCACCAGCTGTTTCTGCGGCCCGGTTGCAAGCCCCTCACGGACCACTAGTGGGCCGTGGCCCACAGGTTGGGGACCCCTGATTTATAGCTCTATCTGAGCCATTTACAAGATCAGCATATGGCCCCCAACCTGGGGTCCTCATTTTGCCAACCTCGGAAGGAAGGAAGGAAGGCGGAGTCAACCTTGAGCTGGTCAGGATCAAACTCCTGACAGTGGGCAGAGTCAGGCTGTAATCCTGCATTCTGATCACTGCGCTACCATGGGTCACGTTTCTCTGGTTCTGGTCTTAACCATAGAACAGGGCTGTCAAACTCCTGCTCTAGAAGAACCTCTAGAAACCGAAATGCAGCCAAGATGATGCAGCCAGTCAGAAAAATGAGTGTTTGTAAACCAACACAAAGAATTGGTCACAGATTTGAGTATATCGCAGTGGTTAGAGTGCAGTACTGCAGCTACTTCAGCTGACTGCTAGTTCAGCAGATCAGCGGATCAAATCTCACTGGCTCAAGGTTGACTCAGCCTTCCATCCTTCCGAGGTGGGTAAAATGAGGACCCAGATTGTTGGGGGCAATATGCTATTTAGTATACTGTCTGTGGTGTAAGACGCCCAGAGTCCTCGGAGAGTGGGCGGCATAGAAATATGACTAATATAAAAAAAAAGATCAGAAAAACCATAGGGGAGATGTTATGACTGTCTCCATACATCTGAAGTGATGTCATGCAGAAGCTGGAACAGACTCATCTACTGGTTATTCAGAGGACAGGATGAGACGTAGTGGATAGCAATGGTATTATTAAACTAAACTTCCAGTTATAGCTTAGCAGAGGCATCGTCTTTGCTCAGATATTTAAGACTGGATCAGAATGCCTTAGGACCACCTTCAACACAGGAAGTGCAGAGACAAATGCTAGAGTGTCATTTGCCAAGGATGCTCTAATTACATCCTGTACCAGTGAATCAGGTGGCATACATATTTGTGTCATAAGATAAATACGGCACATTTTCTTTTGCACGGTGAATTCGGCTAAAGTTCTGTACTGGTGCTGAAGATTACATAATTTAAAAGACTGCCTTGAGAACAATAAAGGTAAAGGTTCCCCTCACACATCTGTGCTAGTCGTTCCCGACTCTAGGGGGCGGTGCTCATCTCCATTTCAAGGCCGAAGAGCCAGCTCTGTCCAAAGACGTCTCCGTGGTCATGTGGCCGGCATGGCTCAATGCCAAAGGTGCACGGAACGCTGTTCCCTTCCCACCAATGGTGGTCCCTATTTTTCTACTTGCATTTTTTTACGTGCTTTCAAACTGCTAGGTTGGCAGAAGCTGGGACAAGTAACGGGAGCTCACCCCGTTACGCGGCACTAGGGATTCGAACTGCCAACCTTTCTGATTGACAAGCTCAGCGTCTTAGCCACTCAGCCATTGCGTCCCACCTTGAAAACTATAAATACAGGCAATTCTCGACTTGCAACTGTTTGTTTAGTGACTGTTCAAAGTTACAAAGTCACTGAAAAAAGCAACTTGCGAGCTTTTTTTTCACACTTCTGACCATTGCAGCATCCCTGTGGTCAAGTGATCAAAATTTGGACGCTTGGCCACTGGTTCATATTCATGCCAGTAGCAGTGTCACATGAACAATTTTTGCCACCTTCTGACAAGCAAAGTCAATAGGGAAAGCCCGATTCACTTAACAACCGTTTTACTAACTTAATGACTGCAGCGATTCACTTAACAAGCATGATTAGAAAAGTCGTAAAACGGGGCAAAACCCACTTAAACAAATGTCTCGCTTCACAACATAAATTTTGGGCTCAATCATAGTCGTAAGTCGAGGACTACCTGTAGTGAATAAATAAGCAATGGGAAATTAAGCCACATCGGACTTTGAATTTTCTTCATTTGCTCTAGTTGAAGATGTTTTCAAACATCTACAAGGGGTTTGATTTTAAATATTATAAACACAAATGAATATTCCTGGCACAGTAATTTTGAGTTAGGCTACCTGTTGGGTTTGAACTTACCTGTTCAGTTTTTCGTGAATTTCATTCTCACAGTGGTCAGAAGAAGCAGGCTTAAACTATAGCTTGTGCGGAACAGGTACAATGTTATTTTGTGACTGTGTTTGCACATAGGAAGCTTGGTTGATTTTAAGGTTACTTGTATTAATTAATCCTGCCACCTGATTTTGCACAACACGCTGAATCACAAAGAAACCAACTGTCTTAAGATTGCACAACAATGAACTCATCCACAGAAGTTACAACCAGTGTTAAAACTAATCAAATTTAGCTAAATTAAGAGTCAGCTGGATTGACAAGGGCAGCTATAGAAAAATGAATAAACAAAAGAAATTAGGCAAATTCAGGCAAATATTCAAATTCAGGCCTCTGATCTATTCATTGGGTCTTAATTTTGAATCAGAATGAATTCAAATGATTACTATTTTCTACAGAGAAGTAGAAGGAGCGGGTGGCTCACGAGGTTAGAACACTCAAACTTGCATTCGAGACCCATTCTGCTGTGGGATGGGCTGAGCTCCTGTCGCATGCTCCAGCTTCCGCCGACCCAGCAGTTTGAAAGCAGGTCGATGGACGGTAGATAAATGTGTACCACGAAGGTGGGCAACTTTGCAGGGACGCAAAAGGAGCCCCCAACTGGGCATCCCCTGGGCAACGATGTCACCAACAGATCCTTTCACCACTTCAGTGCTTCTGACATGGAAGTATTAGTTCAGAAGAAGTAGAGAAATTGAAAACTGTTTATTTCTATAGGCATTAGAACGGAGGTTTCCAGCCTTGGCAACTTTAAGACTTGTGGACTTCAACTCCTAGAATTCCTCAGCCAGGAATTCTAGGAGTTGAAGTCCACAAGTCTTGAAAGTTGCCAAGGTTCGAGACCCCTGCATTAGAGTTCATATATGGAGTGGTGCGGTGGCCTAGAGGTGGAGCTCTCGCCTCACAATCAGGAGACTGTGAGTTCGATCCTAGTTAGAGGCAGATATTTCTCTCTGGGCACACTGAGAATATATCTGCTGAACAAAACTCTGCATTGGCGACGGGAAGGGCATCCGACCATTAAAACACTCTGCTACCTCCATTCAGTTGCCATCTTGCAAGGGATTATGGGGTCGTTAAATGAAGATGATGATTAGAGTTCATATATATTTTAGTTTTTTTTTCTTATGTACATAAACTTTGACATGGAAAATTGCTTCCTCTAGGTCTTATATGCAGATATCCAGAAAAAGACTACGATTCATTTTCTCTACCAGAGTCGGTCCCTCTCTTTTGTCTGCCAATGGGGGCAACAATTGAATGCTGGCCCTCCAACAGCAAATATCCCCTCCCAGTGTTTTCTACGTTTGTGCTGACTGGAGCCTCAGCTGAAAAGGTACGATCCATTTATCCTTAACTGTCATTTTGGTGTCCATGGAGATACTCCGTCATCCAGGTCATGGTTCTCCCAAAGGTGCTTTTTTCAGCAGGCAACTGGACTTTCTTGGTTTTTCTTTGAAGACGTTTCACTTCTCATCCAAGAAGCTTCTTCAGCTTCTGACTGGATAGTGGGGAATGGAAGGATTTATATTCCTTGCAGACAGCTGGTCATTTGCATCCTTTTAGAGAGTCGTTGAGGCCACTTGGAGGTTTATCTGTGTCCTCAGGGTCACCTGAGTAGTGCAAATGGTTCCTGTAGTCTGCCATTTTTCTCTGAAAAATAAGGAAGGCTGAGCGTCAAAGAATGGAGGCCTTTGAACTATGGTGCTGGAAAAGACTCCTGCTAGTCCCTTGGACTGCAAGGCAATCAAACCAGTCAGTCCTAGAGGAGATCAACCCTGGCTGCTCTTCAGAAGGCCAGATCCTGAAGAGGAAAGTCAAATACTTTGGCCACCTAATGAGAAGGAAGGACTCCCTGGAGAAGAGCCCAATGCTGGGAAAGATGGAGGGCAAAAGAAGAAGGGGACGGCAGAGAAGGAGGTGGCTGGGTGGAGTCACTGAAGCAGTCGGTGTGAGCTTAAATGGACTCTAGAGGACAGGAAGGCCTGGAGGAATGTTGCCCATGGGGTTGCGATGGGTCGGACACGACTTCGCAACTAACAACAACAACAACAAAAGAGGGTTGTTGAGGCCACTTGGAGGTTTATCTGTGTCCTCAAGCTCACCTGAGTAGTGCCAATGGATGTGGAGCCTTCTTGGAATTGCTGAAAGGATTGTGTTGTGGAGTTTCTCCTTTCTGCAGGATGTTTTCTGCCCTCTGTCCCTTCCCTGTTGAACGCAGACTGCTGGGGATGAATCTTTGCCTCGCAAACCGAAGCACAAATGGCTCCTGCCGTCTGCAATTTTTTCTGCAAATCCACTTTGGTGTTTGTTGTTTCTCTTTTTTTCTGCGTTTGGTCAGTTAGTCAAAAGAGCTGGAAGGCTGGAAGCTTTTTCTAAAGTGACCATTTGTTCACTTTTTCCCTTGTTATGCAGCCATTCATTCTTTTTTCTTTTCTTTTCTTGTCTCTGCTACATTCAGTGCATCTGTCCAGCCATCTATTTTCTTTTTGGCTCATACAAATCCAGCTGGTCCTTGACTTACAACCATCTGTTTAGTGACTGTTCAAAATTACAGTGGTAAAAAGTGACTTACGATAAATTTTTCACACTTAACGACAGTTGCAGCATCCCCCGTGGATTCATCCCCGCATGATTCAGACGCTTAGCAACCAAAGAGCCTTGGTAGTACAGGGGTTTAAGGGGGTTTAAGACACCCTGTTATTAAGCTGGTTATTAAGACCAGATGCCTACAATTACTGCAGGGTTCGAATCTCGCCAAGGCTCAAGGTTGACTCAGCCTTCCATCCTTTCTAAGGTAGGTGAAATGAGGACCCAGTTTGTGGGGGCAATAAGCTGACTTTGTATAAATATACAAAAGTATGAAGGCTATTGCTGAGCACATTGTAAGCCGCCCTGAGTCTCCGGAGAAGGGCGGCATATAAATCAAATTTAAAAAAAAAAACAAACCCTCATATTTATGATGGGATCATGTGATCCCCTTCTTGACAAACAAAGTTAAGGAGGAAGCCAGATTCACTTAATAACCGTGTTATTATGTTGACAACTTCAGTGATTTACATAACAACCTTAGCAAAAAAAAGGTCGTAAAATGGGCCAAAACTCACTTAACAACTGTCTGGCTTAAGAACAGAAATTTTGGGCTCGTTGTGGATGTAAGTCAAGGACTACCTGTATACAGAAACATCCCTACACATTTTGAGTTTGTCAGTCTGTCCGAATCCTTGTTGTCAAAACAATTTGCTGCTTCAGTTTGGGTGACAAGAGGATCGCTCTCTGCTGTCCGTTTGAGCAGGAGCAATTTTACAAAGTGTAGCATGAAATGTGATTATAGCATTTTGCTGTTAGAATTGCTTTTCAACCTGGAAATTCAACCTGGAAATGAGAAATTTCCTGACAGTGAGAACAATCAACCAACGGAACAGAAGTTGCCTTCGGAAGTTGTGGGAGCTTCATCACTGGAAGCTTTCAAGAAGAGACTGGACTGCCATCTGTCAGGAATGGTGTAGGGTCTCCTGCTTAGGTGAGGGGGGGGTTGGATTAGATGACCTACAGTATAAGGTCATCCAACTCTGTTAATCTGAATCTATCTAAGATGCTTAAAGCCTGGAGACTAAAACACACGATGAACGGTTGCAGGAACTGGGCCTGGCTAGTCTAGTGAAGAGAAGGACCAGGGGAGACAGGATAGCAGGCTTCCAATATTTGAGGGGCTGCCACTGAGAGGAAGGGGGTCAACCTGTTTTTCAAGGCACCCAAAGGCCAGACAAGGAATAATGGATGGAAACCGATCAAGGAAAGATTCAACTTGGAAATAAGGAGAAATTTCCTGATAGTAAAAACAGTCAACCGATGGAACAGAAGTTGCCTTTGGAAGTTGTGGGAGCTTCATCACTGGAGATTAAATGACCTACAAGGTCCTTTCCAACTCTGTTAATCTGTAAGTTTTCTTCCTGGAAACGAGGAGGTCCTATTTCCTCCATCCCCCCCCCCCAAATTTCTTCCAGATTATTTTTTGATGGAAGGGCACTGGATTCTATCCAAAGTCTTTGAAAAAAGAAAAAAGGAGAGGCTCATTGGGATCCATCCTTGGGTTACAATTACTCTTTGAAAAGTGATGCATTAGCCGGCTGCTATACCACTACATGTGTGCAAGGAGAACTTGGCTAGAACTTATTTTTATTTTTCCAGGTTCCTCAAAGCTACATTTGCCATGTTTACAGCAGAGCTGCCTTACATTTGAGTGTCGCCCATGGCAGATATATTTGAATGTCTTAGGCCTGAAAGAAATACTTGGCAGATTCAGACTGCCTACGTCACTTAAATTTCAATGTACTGTCACTTGCAGGTCTACGGTGCTGCTATTCAGTTCTATGAAACATACTCTGAGGAAAACCTGACAGAAAAACAGAAGTCTCAACTGGGCTTCATGGCCATACCCAGCTCCAAAACCGTTCAGACAAACAAGTGCATTTGCCTGCTGTCCCGCTGGCCATTCTTCGATGCGTTCAAGAAATTTCTCACTTTTCTTTACCGCTATTCAATATCGGGTCCACACGTCCTTCCTATTGAGAAGTAAGTTGGAGGGGTATTTTGGGTTCCACACATCATCATTAACTGTCATTGTAATACATAATTTTGATCAATGGGAAGGGCATTTGAGCCAGCCTATGCCCTTGGTAACTGGGGCAAGCCTGCCTGGGGTCGCCCCAAATCCTGTCCCCTCCTCAAATTTGATTATTCTTTTTCTCTTTCCTGGTCTGCATCAATGCAAACTTGATAGCGTGCGGCCCTCCCGAGCTCCGCTTTCACTGGCAGAGGGCTGCAGGAGGCGGTCATGGCCAAAAACGGGGCCCGGGGGGCTGCGCTCGGCCCTCCTGAGTTTCGTTTTTGCTGGCAGCATGAAAGAAACATGCAAGAAGGGACAGGAAAGAAGAAAGGGAAAGACAAAGAAAAAGAAGGGAAGAGAGCAAGGAAGGAAAAATAAGGAAAGAGGGGAAGGAAGAAGAAAGAATGAAGAGGGAAGGAAAAAGAAGGAAGGAAGGAAGGAAGGAAGGAAGGAAGGAAGGAAGGAAGGAAGGAAGGAGATTATAATGAGAGTGAGGGTGGGTCTGAGGGAAGTCCTGTTTTACCACTTGGCCACCACAGGTGCCCCCGACACGAGTGATGTCTAGCTGGTCATGACCCCCCCCCCACTCTCGAGGTCAAACACAGCCCTGATGAGGCCCTCAATGAAATCGAGTTTGACACCCCTGCTCTAGGGATAGCTTCCAGGGTAGCGGTGGGGAGACAGAACTCAACAATGATACGGTGACATCTCTGTTGGGGTTAGGAAAGGAAATATTTGGCTTTTTTGCCATTACCTTTTAGAGTTTGGGGCCAAGCAGAGGTTTAATCCATCCATTTTATATTTAACTGCTGTTATAAAAAGCCAACATCTAGAAGCAAGATCTCGTGTGTGTATTTCAGCTGCAAATATTGACGGAATGCATACTGGTCATGGCCGAGTCCTCCTGTTTTTCTTTTCACATGATCGATGATACTATAATGTGTTTGTGCAAACCGTTCAACCAAAATTCTTCAGAATACTTTTTATGACTCATCAAAAGTACACTGGGGATGTTTGTTCCCCAGTTTGTCTCCTCAGCTCTGCCTGCAACTGAGATCTTACTAAACTGTCCAGAGTCTAGTTTTCTGTATGATTCTGAGCCTAGATAGATAGATAGATAGATAGATAGATAGATAGATAGATAGATAAGAGATAGATAGATGAGAGACATGATAGATGATAGAGATGAGAGAGACAGATGAGAGATAGATGAGAGAGACATGATAGATAGATGAGAGAGAGATGAGCGAGATGAGAGAGACAGAAGATAGATGAGAGAGAGAGAGATGATAGATAGATAGATATAGATAGATGAGATAGATGAGAGAGACAGATGAGAGATAGATGAGATAGATGAGAGATGAGAGATGAGAGATAGATGAGAGAGACAGATGAGAGATAGATGAGAGAGAGAAATAGATGATAGATCGATAGATAGATAGATAGATAGATGAGATAGATGAGAGATAAATGAGAGAGACAGATGATAGATAGATGAGAGAGAGATGAGAGATGAGAGAGACAGATATAGATAGATGAGATAGATGAGAGACAGAAGATAGATAGATGAGAGATAGATAGATGAGAGATAGATAAGAGATAGATGAGAGATAGATATAGATAAATAGATAAATAGATAGATAGATAGATAGATAGATAGATAGATAGATCTCTTCTTAGTTTCAAATGGGTTTAATCTTCGCAAGCTATAAACCTGCACCTCTTTGCAAGCAATAAACCAAGACTCTGAAGAATATTCCCTTAGCTTGTTGAATATGATATCTTAAAAGTCTAGCATGCGTTCTATAAAAAAATGCTGATTTATTTATTTTCCTTAAGACAAAGTGATTATTCCCTCCTTAGGCATATTTCCCATTTTATGCACAAGGTTCCTTTTCCATCTCCACAAAGACCAAGGATTTTAGTTCAGGTAAGTGTAAATTTATTCCATTCTGTTCATACGTTTATTCAGATGACTAGGTTCCACTAAAAAAAATAAAAGGCACTTTAAAAATGTTACAGACTTGGAACCGCAAATTTGCTACTCAATGCTGGAAGTCATCAAGAAATGTGTATGAGTCACACTTTTTATGTCACAAGGCTGCTTATTTGTCAGATTATCTACTTTTTAAATATATCTAGGCCTGGGAGCAGTTGGTAAATGAAAATGATTGGCTTTTTCTCAATGTCATCATTATAAAACAAAGAGTATCAGATACTAATTTTTAAAAATCCCATTGTCTAGAAATTTGGCATGTTAAATCTGTCCACTGATAAATATTTCTGGATCACTTTTTGAAAAACAAACCCCAGACACATTTTGATATAGAATTCAATTCTATTTTCAAACTTTCTTGGATCCTACCCAAAAATATATACCTTTTTTTTTGCTATTTTAAATCATTTCACAATTCAGTCTGATTGGTGGAAGCTTTCCCATTAAGAAAATCAATTCTGTATTAAAGTTTAAAAGCTGTAATGAATGTGATGTGGGAGGTGAATTACAAAAAAGATATCTGGCAGTTTTTAAAATATTCAGCTTGCATATTTTTTCTGGGCACGCCCTGGGATTTTTTTGGGGGAAAGGACATCTGTAATAAATTATTTAACCAGTTTTATAGAATTTGCGAGCCAATAGAACAGCGCTTGAAGCTGCTTGAGATTCTGGAGTCAAATCATAATATCTATTTCACGTTAATATATCTTTATACTTTTTTTTTAACATTAGAGATCTGCATATTTAACTATCAAGTTTTTCAAGCCTACAGCAATGGTATTAATTCTGTGACAGCAATATGTTTTCTATACAAACAAATTGCTTTATATTTAAATCTTCAGGTAAATATAAAAACCATGCTTTTATTGTTTTATAGCTATCACCCCATGATAATCTGATTCTTAGTCAGCCCATATCATCACCTCTACCGCTGAGGCAAGTAAAATATATGTGTGTGTGTGTATATATATTTGTGTGCTGTTATGTGAGGGATGAACAAACCAATTTAGAAATTAGTGAAGAAGACAAAAATAAAAATGTATAAATATATCAAGAAAGAAGAATTAATTTACTCTCTAACTCTGCGATGGCGAACCTATGGCACGCGTGCCACAGGTGGCATGCAGAGGCATATCTGTGGGCACATGAGCATTGCTCTAGCTCAGCTCCAGTGCGCATGTGTGCGCCGGCCAGCTGATTTTCGGGCCTACCAGAAGTCGGGAAACGGGCTGTTTCCAGCCTCTGGAGGGGCTCCGGGGGAGTGGAGGCCGTTTTTATATTCCCCAGGCTCCAAGAAAGGCTCTGGAGCCTGGGGAGAGCAAAAAACGGGGCCTACTGGGCCCACCGTGCCATCGTGTGCCAAAAGTGGGGGTCGCGTGGGGCATATTGAATTATGGGTGTGGGCATGTGCACACGCAACCCTCCCATGCGACCCCCGCTTTTGGCACGCAACGGCAAAAAGGTTAGCCATCACTGCTCTAACTCTTAAAGGTTGCGATGAGGCAAACAAGACAGAAAAAAATATCTATAAAAATTACCCATTTAAAAGCCGAAACTTTACACTTCAGAGCTTCCTTTCTGTTGCACCTGGATTTATCTTGCTTTTCTTTTCCTGCTTATTCAGGCAGATTAGTCCTCAACCTACGACCACAGTCAGCCCAACATTTCCATTGCTAAGCGAGACAGTTTTGTTAAGTGAGTTTCGCCTCAGTTTACGACCTTTCTTGCCACCTTTGTTAAATGAATCGCTGCAGTGTTAAGTCAGTCACACGGTTGTTAAGTGAATCTGGCTTCCCCGTTGACTACTATACTTGTCAGAAAGTCACAAAAGGTGATCACATGACCCCGGGACACTGCGACCGTCATAAATACATGTCAGTCGCCATGTTTATTTTGATCACGTGACAGTGGGAATACTGCAACAGTCGTAATTGTCCTACAGGTAGACCTTGACTTAACAATCATTCATTTAGTGACCGTTGAAAGTTACAGCAGCCCTGAACAAAGTGACACGATCGTTTTTGACATTTAGGACCATTGCAACCATGATCAAAATTCAGTCCCGTGATCAAAATTCAGACGCTTGGCAACCGGTTCCTATTTATGATGATTGCAGATCCCCTTTTGCGACCTTCCGACAAGCCAAGTCAATGGGGAACCCAGATTCACTTAACAGCTACGTTACTCACTTAACAACTGCAGTGATTCACTTAACAACTGTAGGAAGAAAGGTTGTAAAATGGGGCAAAGTTCAATTAAAGTCTCACCAAGCAACAGAAATTTTGGGCTCAATTGTTGTAAGTCAAGGACTTTGTTGTTGTTAGTTGTGAAGTCATGTCCGACCCATCGCGACCCCATGGACAATGTTCCTCCAGGCCTTCCTGTCCTCTACCATCCTCTGGAGTCCATTTAAGCTCATGCCGACTGCTTCAGTGACTCCATCCAGCCACCTCGTTCTCTGTCGTCCCTTCTTCTTTTGCCCTCCATCTTTCCCAGCATTAGGCTCTTCTCCAGTGAGTCCTTCCTTCTCATTAGGTGGCCAAAGTATTTGAGTTTCATCTTCAGGATCTGGCCTTCTAAAGAGCAGTCAGGGTTGATCTCCTCCAAGGCAGGGATGAAATGCTCCGGGTTCGGACCGGATCACTTGATCTGGTAGCGATGGCGGCGGGTGGTTCAGAGAACCGGTAGCAAAAATCCCTGCTGACAGATATCTCTCTGCCAATCAGGCAACTCAGCTGGTATCGTCAGAGAGGTATTTTTTAAAAAGCCTTTCTGACAATCCCAGCTCAGTTGCCTGATCGGCAGAGGCTTTTCAAAGCATTAGAAAAAATGCTTTGAAAAGTTTAAAAAAAAAAAAAGTTGGGCACGCCCACCAAGCCACGCCCACAGAACCGGTAATAACAAATTTTACATTTCACCCCTGCTCCAAGGACTATATGATGCTTACTTCATTGCAGTGTTTCCCAACATTGGCCATTTCCAGAGGTAGGGACTTCAATTGTCAGTGGAATTCTGGGAACTGAAGTCCACCATCCCAAAATGGCCAACAATGGGAAACGCTGCTTTTATCGTTTCCGGTTTGTTTCATTTAGTGGTAGATTACTCAGAGCTGTAAGATTGGGGCAGTTGACAGATGTATTAAGAAAGCAAATAAATAAATAAACGTTATGAAAAACAGTTTCCGGTTTGTGGTTTTTCTCTAGGCGAGGAGGTCAAACGCACTAAAAATGGGAAGTGTCACTTTCCAGTCAAGCTGAGGAAACCAGTCTAAGCTAGATGACAATTTGTTCTTGGTTTGTGAACCCTAAAGTTATTGAAAGCAGGAAAGAATGAAACCAGGTTCAGAGAGTGTGAGAAGGGTTCCATGCCTGGTTTGTTTGATCTCGAATGACTTGTTTGCAGTGAACTAAGTCCGTTTCTGGCTGTACTGTGAGCACATGTTAATTTACAAACTCCACTCCACAACTTTATTTAAAAGTTAATGGAGCGCCAAATGGAAAACTGCTTTTTAATCTATTCTGTGCTGTGTAATTTTAGTGTTACTCAGACTAGTAATTGAATACCCTTATGCTGAGTCATTCGATGCTGGGCTAACACTGGGGAGAAACGTGGTTCAGTTCCTGGGGAAAAAAAGATGCCGTTTGTAAAATCTATTCCTGTTTCTTTTTTTTTATAATTAGTAGCGGAGGGAAGTTTTCTGCTCTTCTGCAGAATCTGGGACCTGAGAATGCTGTAAATCTCCTCGTCTTTGCGGTGACCGAACATAAAATCCTCATCCACTCTTTACGCCCTTCGGTCCTCACCAGCGTAACCGAAGCCCTGGTCTCTGTAAGTTGTGAGAATTTCTCAAACAAGTATTTTCAAATTAAGATAAACGGAAAACACCCCCCCTCCTCCAGCTAACTGACTGTAAAATATCTTTTAAAGCTCAGGGCCCTAAAAATAATTATTACAATTTGTAACAGGTAGTCCTTGACCTGCAAGCATTTGTTTAGTGACTGTTTGAAGTTACAAGGGCATTGGGGAAAAAAAAGTTTTCACACTTACTACTGTTTCAGCCTCCCCATGTTCACATGATCAAAATTCAGGCCCCCGATTCATATTTATGATGGTTGCAATGTTCCAGTATCACCTGATCTCCTTTTGCGACATTCTCACAAGCGTGGGGGAAGCCAGATTCATTTTTAAAAAAACTACACGATTCACTTACCAATTACAGTAATACACTTTAAAACTGTGGCAAAAAGGTTGTAAAATGACACATAGCCCCCTTACAACTGCCTCGCTTAGCAGTGGAAATTTTGGTCGTAGCTCCAGGACTACCTGTTCTATTTTATTTAAATTTAAAATGGGCTACAGTGGATGTGGGCATATAAATCAAATTTTTTAAAAAAATAGAAGGGATTTGTGGATCTGGTAACGATGAATAATTGTGTGAACTAGGCATGTCTAGTCTAAGGACTGGGGGGGCGATATGATAGCAGATTCCAATATTTGAGGGGCTGACACAAAGGAGGAGGAGGACAACCTAGTCTCCAAAGCACCAGAGGGCAGGACAGGAAGCAAAAGATGGAAGATTAAAGAGAGATCCAACTTAGAAGTAAGGAGAAATTTCCTGATGGTGAGAACAATTAACCAGTGGAACGTCTTGCCACCTGAAGTTGTGGGTGCTCCCTCACTGGAGGCTTTTCAAAAGAGACTGGACAGCCATTCATCCGGAATTGTATAGGGTCTCCTACTTGATCAGGGGGCTGCACCAGAAGACCTCCAAGGTCCCTTCCGACTCTGTCATTCTGATGTTGTGGTTCTGATGGGCCTTTGCTCCCTTGTCTAGGATCCACAGCCGTTTGCAAAAGTCTTCAGCTCGCGGGTTTTAAGAGTGTTTTGCTCAATACCAGCTGCAGATCAAACTGAGCAGGAGGTTCAAACACCATTTGTGGAGTGGGTAGGAAGGCCAGTTGTTGTTCAAAGAAATGAAGTCAAAAATTCCACTGAGCTAGCACAAGCCCCTCCTGCCCTCCACTTCACGCTGAGTGTCATGTTTTAAACATTTTGTTTGTTCTGCTTTCACCTCCTGAGGATGTTTGTACAGATGGCTGCGGAGCCGTATTATTCATCTCGTTCAGATCATTAGCACAGTGCTTGTCAAAGGTTCTCCATTTCGTACAAATTAACAGAGATAAATAAAACATCCTTTGTTGATGGAAAAGGCAGGTATAAATCTAATATATCAATCAATAATCATGGGTTGTTATTATTAATACTGTTATTTCAAGCGGTTTATTGATGAGAACTTCCCAATTGTATCTATCCATTGGCCTAAATTAATATTTTAAAAGAAAGGAATGGCTACTTTCCATAATGATGTACCAATATTGAAAGTAGAACATGGTTGGTGAATGTTCCCTTTTCTTCAGAGGTAGACAGCCTTTCCTTTGTCAAGAAACAACTTTTTTCCAGGTATAATATGCTAGTCCTCATGAAGGGTTCTGCTTTATTTCGGTCATGGACCAAGAAATACAATCAATAAAACGAGCAACTCAAGACTATCTCCTAATACCAAGAATGTAGAGATACTTTGAGATGCTTGTAGTCCGAGACCCTCTTTTTCTTCAGTAGAACATCTCAAAGGTGCTTTTTCAAAAAGCCACTGGACTTTGTTTTTCTTTGAAGACCTTTCACTTCTCATTCAAGAAGCTTCTTCTGTTCTGACTGAAGGTCAGGTCAGAACTGAAGAAGCTTCTTGGAAGACAAGTGAAACATCTTCATGGAAAAACAAAGAAAATCTGATTCCCTTTTGAAAAAGCACCTTTGGGGCAACCATGACTTGGATGACTGAGAATCTCCATAGACATTGATTAGAACAAGGGTCTCCAACTTTGGCCACTACGCCTGGAGGACTTCAACTCCCAGAATTAACCTTGGTAACTGGCGGACTTCAACTCCCAGAATTCCCCAGCCAGATTTGCTGGCTGGGGAATTCTGGGAGTTGAAGTCCTCCAGGCTCAAGGTGGCCAAGGTTGAAGACCCCTGGATTAGAACATGTTCTTTTGGGAACATAGAGCTCTTGCTCGGGATCTAAATGATCTCTTTGGATGGGTTGAAATGAGTTCAAGAGTTACTAGGTTGTCCACCCTGTTTTCCTTGAAGCACATCTGGCTATCTGCATTCAACATGTTTGTTCTTCTCTTTTGAAAGATGATATTTCCTTTCCACTGGCCGTGCCCGTACATTCCACTCTGCCCTCTAGCCCTGGCTGATGTCCTGAGTGCACCGTGTCCATTCATAGTGGGAATTGATTCCAGATATTTCGATCTTTATGACCCTCCACCAGATGTTAGCTGTGTTGACCTAGATACAAACACCATTTCACAGTAAGTATTTGGAGAGCTTTGTTTGCTTGGCTTGCTTTTTTGATAAGACACAATTCAGGGGGCAGACTTTTAAATTAATTTTCCTAGATTTGCTAAATTATTTATCAGAGGAGGGAATTGAGGGTCCGTTCATATTTTTGCACGCATGTCCCTTGTTTACTCAGCAGTGGGAAAACGTACAGTGGAATCTGTAAATTGATTCCACTAAAAAGCATTGTTTTGAAGATTAGCATTTAATCCTTGGATATTAGATCTCTTTCACAGAGGCAAATTGCATTTAGTAAATATAATTATTTAGCATGTGCTTGTAATCCATTGCATGTTGTTGCAATAACCTTGTAAAATAAACTGGCATTAGCTTTAAACTGGGAAGCAAGATTAAGAGAATAATTGGCCCTTTACCTAATAAGTTCTATGCTGAACTAGAATCAGAGGATAAATGTTCGTGTAAGGACTATTATCTGTTTGTTTTCTTTTATTGCCTTGCTTTACAGGAACAGTGCATTAGTGAATGACAAAGACATATTCGTTGCCTCAGCAATTTGTTTTTGCCAGTCCGTATACCAATTAATCTTTTAAACGCTTAGCAGATAGTCTTCTATTATTCTTAGTACTTCGGAAAAAGCTTTATTACCACAAAAAGTTGAAATCCTTGGGGTGAAAGAATATTTCTTAAGATGAAATACAACTTGATGATCTAGATTTAAGCAGCTCCAGTGAAAGGAAAAATTGCAGGGGAAAATGTTTCTGTAAAGTGAAGGAAATTACCTTCATGAACGAATTCCAATTTATTCATAGTTTAACAGCTTCTGAACTTGGAAATCTGTTTTGTGTATGGTTACAATTGGTATTCGTGCTTACTCTTGGTACAGTATATCTAGTCCTCATTTAATGACCCTAATTGGGACTCGAAACTCCATTGTTAAGCATCAAGGTTGTAAGTGGAAAAGCCAACTGATCATGCCACTTAGGCAGGATGTCATTGTTAACGAGGACTATGCAGATAGTTAAACGAGGACCTCATGTGATGGTGACTCCTGATTTCCTGCAGGTTTCCCCATTGACTTTGCTTGTGGGATACTAGCGGGGAAGGTTGAAGATCATGGTCATGTATTGGTAAAACCACAATATCACTGGAACGGCGTTTTCCTATCGTTTGTAGCCTTTTAGGGTGGGGATGGACAGGTCGGGCTTTAGTAGGAAGCTATAACCCACTCTTAAAAATGCCTCAAACATACCTAAAGGTAAAGGTTCCCCTCGCACATATGTGCTAGTCATTCCTGACTCTTAAGGGGCGCTGCTCATCTCTGTTTCAAAGCCGAAGAGCCAGCGCTGTCCGAAGACGTCTCCGTGGTCATGTGGCCAGCATGACTCAACGCCAAAGGCGCACGGAACGCTGTTCCCTTCCCACCAAAGGTGGTCCCTATTTTTCTACTTGCATTTTTTAGGTGCTTTCGAACTGCTAGAAAACACACTAAAACACACCTAGAAGACCTAAAATTTGAGCATTTTGTCATTGAATGACAGAGCTAGAGAATTTCAAATAGGGTGTTGCAATACCCCATGAATTGTTGCTCAACTAAAGAATCTGTCATTTGCACCACGCAATAGTCACGTGTTCCAGGAAAACTGAACTTCCTTTTATGAATCTGCCAAGCCAACAAGCAAATTTTTCTGCAGGAGCTGAGAATATAAACATCTTCACCCAGAAAGTGCATGCATCCAGGAAGGAAAAGAATAAATATTCATATTTGGTTCTTCTGTTAATATTTGCTGGGTCATACTGGGTGGGGAGGGAACCTTCCTGCTGCAATTTGTCATCCCGTCTACATTGCCATTGGAAAATTAATTGGTGAAATAATGATGCCAGGAAAGGAAAAGCAGAATCATCTCAAACTACGAGATAGGCAGCAAATAAATTTAATAATAATAATTTAACAATAACCGCTCTGACTCTTCATTCCCTGCTTACCTCTGAAGCACCAGGTTTTTCTCCCAACCAGCCCTACCTGCGGCACAAATTAGGTCCCCTTCTAGATTATAGAAATGATTCTTTGCAGATAAGAAGGCAGAATTGTATCATACAGGTAGTCCAGAAGTGGGTTTCAACAGGTTCTGACCAGTTCTGGAGAACCAGTAATGGAAATTTTGAGTAGTTTGGAGAACTGGTAGTAAAAATTCTGACCGGCCCCGCCCCCACCTATTCTCTGCCTCCCAAGTCTCAGCTGATCAGGAGGAAATGGAGATTTTGCAGTAACCTTCCCCTGGATTGGGGAGGGAATGGAGATTTTACAGTATCCTTCCCCTGCTATGCCCACCAAGCTATGCCACGTCCACCAAGCCACACCCACAGAACCGGTAGAAAAATTTTTTGAAACCCACCACTGAGGTAGTCCTCAACTTGGGACCCCAGTTGAGCCCAGCATTTCTGTTACTAAGCAAGACGGTCTTAAAGTGTCTTTTTTTCGGTGCTGTTGAAACTTCAGATGGTTACTAAACAAATAGTTGTAAGTCAAAGACGAAAGGTATAGATTTCAGGAATCAAATATTGATGACACATTTATACATTTAATAAATAAAATAATAAGCAAAACATGCTTCCTGTCTGGGCAGGGGGTTAGACTAGAAGACCTCGGAGGTACCTTCCAATTTTATGATTTTATGATTCCTTGAAATTCTATTTCAAGATTCCCATTCCACTGAATTAAGTTCAGCTGACAATACTGAAGCAGAAATCACTTCTGGGAATTTGGATGCTCAGATTTGACCAAATATTTGAGTCAATATTTGGTCTCAATGAATAGTAATAGCATTTAGACTTATATACCGCTTCACAGTGCTTTACAGCGGTTTACAGAGTGAGCATCTTGCCCCCAACAATCTGGCTCCTTGTTTTACCAACCTCGGAAGGATGGAAGGCTGAGTCAACCTTGAGCCTGATGAGAATCGAACTGCCGAACTGTTGGCAGTCAGCAGAAGTAGCCTGCAGTACTGCCTTCTAACCACTGCGCCACTCCGGCTCTTAATCCCTAACATTTCCCTTTGTATTCCAGGCCAGGAGATAAGCGAACGATTGCATGGAAGATCTTGCCGAAGAAGTCTTGTAAGAAACTGATGAGCACTCTAAATCACTTGTATCAGCAGCTGGCAGCATGTAAGTGGAGGAGGGCCCACTTCTGTGATTGTGGTTGTGGTACACTATGATAGTAAAACCCTTTTTCATATGAAGGAGGAGCAGAGGGAAATTAGATTCAGGTTATACAGAGGGAAATTTGTGCTTTGGGGAAGTAGCACTGAGGAACCCAGCCAGGGGTGAAATGCTACCGGTTTGGACTGGTTCGCCCGAACCAGTAGTAAAAAGTGCTACCGGTTTGGGCGAACCTGTATTTCCAACGATCAGCTGTGCCGCGCGATTTATATATGCTAGAAAGCAGGAAATCCTGCTTTAGCGAATCTAAATTGCGCGGCACAGCTGTTCCCCCGCCCACCTGCTGTTCTACTTACCTTTGCAGACTCAGAAGAGACTTCCTTTTTCAGCACCGCACGGTAGCCCCTGCGGTGTGCAGGCGTGCATTTGATGTGCACTGCGCATGCACGCGCAAAGCAAACTGGTAGCAAAGCAAACTGGTAGCAGACTTCAGAGCATTTCATCCCTGGACCCAGCACTTCCTTTGCATGATGTGCCACTTCCTTTGAAACCCTTGGTGAGGTTAAAAAAAAAGCAACCCTTCTTTTATTTAAATCCTCAGAGCAATGTTTCTCAACCTTGCCAACTCTTTTTTTTTTCCATTTGAGTTTTATTGGGTTTTAACAATTAAACAATTCTTATTCAACTCTTGTGCATGACTGTGACTATTTATATATCACACTAATATTCTCCTATACCAGTGATGGCTAACCTTCTTGCCATCGCGTGCCAAAAGCGGGGGAGAGCACGGTGGGGTCACATGCAAGCGTGCCCACATCCATAATTCTATGCACCCCGCCCCCCCCATGCTCCCCCTGCTTTTGGCATGTGATAGCACTGTGGGCTCGGTAGGCCCGTTTTTTGCTCTCCCCAGGTTCGAGAGCCTTTCTAGGAGCCTGGGGAGGGCAAAAACGACCTTCCCACCCCCCAGAGGCCCTCCGGAGGCTGGAAACAGTGTGTTTCCTGACTTCTGGTGGGCCCAGAAGGCCCAAAAATTAGCTGGCTGGCGCACACATGCGTGCCAGAGCTGAGCTCGCGTGCCCACCAATATGGCTCCGCGTGCCACCTGTGGCACCCATGCCATAGGTTTGCCATCACGGGTATAGGGTCTCCTGCTGGAGCAGGGGGTTGGACTAGAAGACCTCCAAAGCCCCTTCCACCTCCGCCATTCTATAAATATAACCATTTTTTGACATTTCTATTTTTTTTTTTTTTAAATCCACAGTGCAGCAAAGACCCCGAGACGATGCTTTAATGGAGCTGGCTATGAATGACTACGATTTTCATTCAGGCTCGAAGCTGCATCTGATAGATGTAGAAATTCAAGAGGCGTTTCTCACTTTTATGGCTTCGATCCTAAAAGGTTACAGGTCCTACCTGAGGCCTATTACGCAAGCCCCTTCGGAAACGGCAACCGATGCGAGCTCCCTTTTTGAACTGCAAGGTAAACCAGAGCCTCTTGTGTTCGTAGCGTGTAAGTTGGCCAGAGAACTTAAACCGGTGCATATTAAGCTATATAAATATTCAAAAATAATTACTGTGACTTGCAGAGATCGTGTCTATCATATCACGATGGGAAGACTGTTGTTGGTGAGCTGTGTGCCTAGCCTCTAAATCAATTTCTCAACCTTGGCAACTTTTAAGATGGGTGGACTTCAACTCCCAGAATTCCCCAGACATCTATCTAGCCAGCTGGCTGGGCAATTCTGGGAATTGAAGTCCACAAATCTTAAAAAGTTCCCCAGGTTGAGAAACACTGGTGTAGAGGCTGGGTTGAAATAGAAAGCATGAATTAGGGGCATTTTGTGGAGGTCTGTGGCATCAGCAGTTGTGGATCAAAACTCTGCCCCTTTATAATGTGTGTTATACATATGCAAAAAGGGGGTGGGACTTGGATTTTCCAGTCACACCCACCATTTTCTATTGACCACTCCCCCCAATATGATCAAAGCATCCAGCTAAAATCAAATTGCTTCTCTTGAAGTCTCTGAATTGCTTCTGATCTTGGCACTCCAAGTCTATGTATAATTTGCCGGTTGATAAATTTGGTTAATTCTAGTATTAAGTAGCAGTTGTACGTGACAGACCTAAATATCCTATATTTGTCGAGTTTTTAGTTTTTTTTATGTTGTTTTCTCTAGTTTTCTATGCCTCTCAAGAGTCCACTGAAGTTGGCTGGCCAATAAATTTAAATAAATACATAAATAACGCCACCCAAATTTTAGATTACAAAGTAAAACGTTTTCCTCATTAGAATAGTGCAGAGACAATTTTCAAAATAAACCAGACAAACATTTTGGCCAAAGTTTCATTGACATTAGAAACCTCATTAAAACAAAATGGGTTTAAATCTCTCATGTGAAAATGCCAATAACATCCATACGTTCCTTATGAAAGTATACTCTATTTATTTATTGCTGGTCATTGATAGTCAATCAATTACCTTATTGATTGATTTATTTGATATGTACTCCAGTTGTCAACCAGCTACAAGGAGCTCTTCAGTGCCCTGGTTTTCCTGTAAATTCCTGGATTGTTAAATCCCAGTTTACTGAAACAAAACCACCATCAGATGTGATGTTAACAGTAACAAGCTATAGATGAAACAAGAAAACATGATTTAAAACTATCAGGAATAACATGCTGATAATGAAGGCAAGGGAGCAGTCCATGATTTAGCCCTAATACTCAATTTGCAAATTACAATTTAGTATACTAGAAACATGTATCCAAAATGGATTATTGTGAATTTGTCAATATTTACATATTTTGCTCATTTTATCTCCCTCCCTCCCCCTCTCCTCTCTCCTCTCTACCTACCTACTTACCTACCTACCTACCTATCTACCATGTTTCCCCGAAAATAAGATCCTGTCTTATTTTTTTTGAACCCCGAAATAAGCGCTTGGCCTTATTTTTGGGAAGGTCTTATTATTTTGGGTCGCATGTAGGAAATCAGAGGAAATGGCGGGGACTGGCTCCACATGCGGTTAAATATTTTCAGGGAGGGCTTATTATCGGGGTTGTCTTATTTTAGGAGAAACAGGGTATCTATCTATCTATCTATCAAATTTATATGGCCACCCATCTTGCAAAATAAGTGACTCTGGGTGCTTGTATAACACAAAACCCAGACCCACCCACCCACCCAGACAGACAAAGACACATAGATCAAAACATATGTGGCTTAGTGAGAGTATGAATTAATTGGTTGTGTTTAATTTCATTTCTTCCTTTGTTCATGGAGTTTAAGAGTTTAAGAGTTTATTAGATTTCTATACCGCCCTTCTCCCAAAGGACTCAGGGCGGTGTACAGCCATATTAAAACACACAGATTTATAAAATTTAAAACCAATTAAAATCGAATATAAAATTTGGCCGCGAATTAAAACATACATACATTTTAAAAATTCATACTAGGCCGGTCCTAGTATGGAGTAGTTGCTCCTTGTTTTTCTGCTAGTGGGATCTACAACATTATTTTTTTTCTTAATCTTACAGGATTCTTGAAAAGCCGTGATCGTTCACATCAAAAGTTTTATACTATGATGACTAAGACCCAGATGTTCATTCGCTTCATTGAAGACTGCTCTTTTGTTAGTGATAAAGATGCAAGCCTTGCATTTTTTGATGACTGTGTAAATAAAGTAAGTGTGCTTGGGCATCACATCCTATTTGACTATTGACTTGTTGCTCCAAGGACTTTTGGCCACTCACTACACTATAGAGGGACTCCCACCTCTAACTGGCTACAGTTGCCGAAGTGTCTAGCAAGAAAAACACATTGGTTAAAGAAGGAATAATGTGATTTACAACCCCTTTTCTTCTATTCGTTAATTGGCTTGAAAGGTATGACTGTTTTCTTATTTTCACTGAGCTAGCAGGGAGAAGATGTCCATACTAGCTTCTAGAGGGTTCTTGACCCTTTCCCTTTGTTCTCCCCCACTTCCGTGAATTACCCGGCTGGTCTAGGAGAGGACATTCCTCATCTTACCCAATCTGGGTATGTCTGCTAGGGATAAAGGGAGATATTACCCAAACATCTGGAGAACGCCAGGCAGAGAAAGCTTGCCTTGAAGCAAGTTGCAAGGAAATAACAAAATTCGCTTGAACTCAGAGCAGTCTAGAAGATCGGGTTGGGTAACAGAAAGATGATTAGTTCTCAACTCCTAGTTGTAAGCTCTTCGGTGAAAGAAACATAGAATATAGAATATCAGAATTGGAAGAGACATTGAAGGTCTTCTAGTCTAAAGCTAGAGACCCTGTATCATTTCAGACAGGTGGCTGTCCAGTCTCTTCTTAAAAACCTCCAGCGATAGAGCACTCACAACTTCTAGAGTCAAGCTGTTCCACTGGTTGATTGTTCTCACTGTCAGGAAGTTTCTCCTTAGTTCTAAGTTGGATTTATCTTTGATTAGCTTCTATCCGTTGTTTTTATCTTGCCTTTGGATGCTTTGTAACATAGCTTGACTCCCTGTTCTTTGTCACATCATATCCTACCTTTTTTCACTAAACTAGCTTTACCCAATTCCCAACAGCGTCCCACAGTCACATGACCACGATTTATGACATTTTTGCGTGAAAACGGTGCTTACTTCCGATTTTCAGAAAGAACACCTCATAGCAAACAATGGGTTTGCTTTATTTATTTATTTATTTATTTATTTATTCATTCATTTATTTATTTATTTATTATATTTCTATACCGCCTTTCTCCCGTAGGACTCAAGGCAGTGTACAGTCAAGAAAAATATAGACACACAAACATCATAAAATTGCTAATTAAAATTATTACTTAGTTTGGTCAATTAAATAAAACCCAGAATTAGATAACATTAAAAAAAAATAATAATCATTCACATGTTCATATGTTTAGCCCCGCCTGTTGAAACATCAGGGTTTTGAGGGCATGGCAGAAAGCACGGAGATCAGGGATATTCCGTATCTCCGGGGGCAGTTCATTCCAAAGGGTTGGAGCCCTCACAGAGAAGGCCCTCCCCCTGGGAGTCACCAGTCGGCATAATTTGACTGACGGTACCCTGAGTAGTCCCTCCCTGTGAGAACGAACTGGTCTGTGGGAGGCTATTGGTGGCAAAAGACTTAATAACCATGGTGTTCACTTAACAACTGTGGATTCACCTATATGACACTGGTGATTTGCTTAACCGCAACAACCAAAAATGCCAGAACTTACAGGGACATCATACTTTATGATGATGTCACTTAGTAACAGAGTTGCTGGTCCCCCGTTACCTTTATTAACCAAGGACTACCTGAACTTGAAGCCTTTCAGTTGCATAAGGAAGCCATTTTATCCCTTGCAGCCCTGGCTTCAATCATTTTTGGAGATGAGTCTCTGATAGGCTGCGCAAACCCCAGTTGCTCTTCCAGTAGCAATAGCAATAGCCCTTAGACTTCTATACCGCTTCACAGTGCTTTACAGCCCTCTCGAAGTGGTTCACAAGGTCAGCCTCTTGCCCCCAACAATCTGGGTCCTTATTTAACCAACCTCGGAAGAATGGAAGGCTGAGTCAACCTTGAGCCAGTCAGGATCAAACTGCTGGCAGTGGCCAGAGTCGGCCTGCAATACTGCATTCTGACCACTGCATCACCATGGCAATAGAAGAGAACAGAACAGAACAGAAATAGAACAGAATAGTCCTTAGACTTATATACCGCTTCATAGTGATTTACAGCCCTCTCCAAGCAGTTTGCAGAGTCAGCCTATGGCCCCCAACAATCTGGGTCCTCATTTTACCGACCTTAGAAGGACGGAAAACTGAATCAACCTTGAGCCGGTGAGATTCGAACTGTCGAACTGCTGGCAGTCAGTAGTCAGAATTAGCCTGCAATACTGCATCTAACCACTGGGCCACCACGGCTCTTAGTAGAGGAGATTTACACATCCCTTCCCTCGTACTTGTCAAAATATTTGTTTGTCTTGATCTACCCAAGGCATGTTTGTGTGCATATTGTATCTGGAGTTTGGGTGCATATTTAGATCTAAAGTCTGCCACCTTAATGACATTCCTTGTGAAATGACTTTTTCAGAGATTCTTTTGATCACACTTTCTTTGGCGCAGCTTTTCTGACAAGATGTTAAATTTAGTGAGATGTTTCGCGTTAGCCTTCCTCTGCAATTTGAGTCTTTTCTTTCTTACTCTCATAAGCGATAATCCTTGTCTAGTGACAATTGGGATCGGCAACTCGATTGTTAAGTGAAGCAGTCACTAAGTGAAACCACCACTGCTGCTTACTTCAGCTTTCCCGTTCCTTACAGGATTTGTGAAGGTTGTAGATGCGAGGTTTGGCCACAAACTTGCTTTTTCATCACTGTTGAAGCAACTGCAAATGGTCACTAAATGAGGTAGTCACTAAACAAGGACTAAACAAGGATAATTTGTAGGCTCTAATACCAATAGGCTTACAAGGAAGGATTTTGTCTGTGGAAACTTAACTTTAAAGTATTATTTATTTTATTTAGCCTCCGGCTTCTTTAAAGTACAAATTGAAAGGATAAAGTATATTCCTAAAGTACAACATCAGTAAAACTCTCTATTTTTGTTTGCTTCAACACATTATATGTCACTCTGAGAGGGAGAAATTTCATATGGATTGTGTGTGTATTATCACAATCGCTCTCCGTTTGGTAGACACAAGAACCTTATGTTCTTATAGATCTGGCTAGAGTCCCTCAAGCGTAACCTAAGAACAGAAAGTGACTGGGG